TTAAATTATTGAACAATTCTAATCATTGATATTTTTTCAATCAATAGTGGGTTCTTTAAGCTAAACCAATATAATTGTTTTTAAATTATTCTGTTTAAATATCAACTTCAATGATAACAATTATTTTAAATGAAATTTTTAGGAATCTCTAGTCCAAAATAAGTATTTGATCATTCGAATCGAGGCTTGGAATTAAAAAAGCATAGATATATTATTCTATTAAACTTCATTTAGTAACTTAGAATTGAACTCTTACCAGATGTATCGTTGATCTAAAAAATATTTCTAAAAACATACAAGCTTTTTAAACATATTGAACCTTGATATTATTTTTATATTATTATATTATTTTAATACATATTTTTTGTCCATAAACTACGCAGTCAAATAGTTGTATATTTACTAGTTTTTTGTTATTTAGAAATTTGCCAGTAGATACCCTAAAGGGTATTTTTGACATAAATTTAACTTTACTCGGTGATCGCATCACCAAAAAATATATTATCTTATAATCTTAAAATCATTAATAAAATTTAGTATAGTTATTGCATAGAATTAAAATATTATTTTTATTCACAGAAGTGTTGATTACACGTAAGTAGTTTACATATGAAGAGTAAACGGAAAAAACAATGTTAGTCAATTATTTGAAAACTAAGAAAATCGAATTTTAAATTTCATAACGCTATTTTATTTTCCAGTACATCATAACTTTTGAATAACTTAATTTTTCACTAGATTAATTGCTAAAAGATATATTATGACATATTGAACATTCAAAATGGTAATTGTGAAAAAATTTGACTTACATTGTATGTCCATGTAATCTTCATATAAGGTATATTTTATCATGCAACTACTCTTTTAAACTCATACTACTGTCTCGTTAACATGCCATCTATTCAAAACAAATATTATGTAACTGTTGGTCCTGTTTGATTAAAGAAAGTTATAGGTATGTCATCATTTTTATCTGTTAAACGCATCTACCTGCTCCTGTCGTGTTAATAATAGATTATTGTAATGCACAGAAACAGCAATTGATCATTGTTATCTGTGTAACTTGATAATTTTTCCCACACATGTAACAAATGTCTATCTTATTTTATATAATTTATTTTTATTTGTTATTATTTTTAAAAATTATAATTTTTGGTAGTCATTTAAATTATGTAACAAATGTATTATTTATTGTCTAATCATATATCTATAAGTATTTTAGTTCGAGATATTTAAGTTATAGTTATGTTGAAAATGTATGATTCTGTGTAAGTATGATTAGATTTATTAAAATTTTATTATATTTATTAGTTGAACAAAATCTAATAAATTTAAATTTCTACATTTATATGGAAATCTATTCGAAACAGATTTTTATTAATTATTATCACATTTTTTGTTAGCCTCTGGTACATCAGTAAAAAAAAGGTGTTCTTTAATAATTACTCTCTTTTTAATTTGAACTGTTTTTTTTATATTTATTGTTAGCGTTTTCATTTATTTATTTTGGAAGTGAACTACAAACAATGATTCAGCAATAACATCATTGGATTAGATTTAAGAATTGGTTTAAAATCCGCATGGCATAGTAGATGATTAATGATGACTACTATGATAATAATGATGAGTGGGTGATCCTTTTTTTATGTACACCATGCATTTGTGGTAATACAATTGTGAGTGTCAGTGACACGACTGACGGTCGCCACCGCCACAGAAACAATTGGGTAGCTGTTACGAACAGTGACCGGAAACAAAGCATTTCCATCGATAATGGCTGTACCAATACTTATAATCACACTCTTCCTATCATCATCCATCCCCATACCATTCTTCAATATCAATAAGCTGCTTTCACGCCCCACGCATTTTCGTTTATCGTCATTACTATCAATTCACCGAAGTCTAGATCGCAAAAATTTCCTCGACAAAACGTTTCGGTTTACACTAGAGTTAGCGGATAAGTGAAATTCCATTGACTTGACTACATATTACACATATAAGTTTTCACAAAAGACATGAACATGGTGGTAGCAGCTTTAGAGTTAAAAAGGAAAACGAGATAATTGGATTTTGCGGCAACCGGCGAGCTGGGGATGAACAGAATTTGCGGCCGCTAGCCTCCAGGGACGTTATTGGTTTTGTTGATAAGAAGATTAACACTCGGAGCGAGTGTTCGGCGCACGCTTGCTGATGGTCGTATGATATCTATACTCAAATAGTATCACAACTGGATTAGTATATATAGACAGAATAAATAAAATGATGCCTTTGCATAATATTATAAAATTTATGTATTTCCCATCACTCATTTGATAGAAAACCCAAAAATTTTCGGTTGGTTATTTATTTGAAGTAACACGCGCTAAAAGAATTTTAAAAAGTTAATAATTTTCATAAACAGTAAATACTATATTTTTGCTATAGTTACAACACATATCAGAATGTATATTCACAATATTTTCAACCATATTCAACATATAATGTGTCTAATTTAAAAAAATTGTGTTGTTAGTTTTTTTGTTTGAGCCCTTTGCTGAATGTCACTGCACAAAAATAGAAATTTTTTATCATCTCGTAATTAACGTAAGATAACTAGGATAAAATTAAGAAAATTAAAAATCTTAACTATAAAATAAACATATTAATTATCACAGTATGTACCATACTAATAGCTCACCCTTTATAGTTAAATTCTGCTAATAATTTTTTACTGTTTATGAATAACGATAACAACAATAATTATTGTTTAGTTATTATAAACTTAAGCTTTCTAGTATTTTTTAATTGTAAATTAACGTGATTCTATATTTTTGTTATTTGTAAAATTATGTTCAAAAATCATATTATACTGAATAAAATTATTTTTAAATATTCAATTCGGGTTACCCCTCAGATGTAGTTTTGTAATCAATAATTAACATTTATTTATACTATCATGCATTGTTTTTTGTTGAGTTCTTTTTGTATATAAACATTCATTAGGGCATGGTATTATCATGTAGTGTCAATTTTGGATCCATTATTTACGATAGGTATGCAGTATATATAAATATAAAACTTAAAGTCACATCTCGTTACCCGCATCCAATCTTTCAAAACTCTATACTCTTTTTTGGACACGTTTCTCTCAGTAGTCTTTAACATCGAGATGATTTAAAGATTATAGTGTACTAAACGAATATACTAGAAGGTTTTAGGTGAAAAGCGTGAGAAAAAAGAAAAGGCAATAATTTCTTTTGAAATTCGTGCCTATGTCAGCTAGGCCGGATGTGACATTTTAAAGGCATTCAATAGATAATCAGAAATAGAAGTTAATTGGATTTTTGGACAGTAAAAATTTTATTTATATATAACACAATTGGACTAGTATTATTTTGAATAAGAGTTTTAGTATATAACTTTAACTGCACCAGGGAATTAATAATAAACATATTAGTAAATTTATGTCATAAGTAATAGATAAGTGCTTTTGTATATGAAGTCCATTGTGTTTGTCAATATAATATTTATCTATTAATCGATACCATATCATTTAACATTCTCAAAAATGAATACTATTAAAAATTACTAAATTTTAAATAAATATGCGTTTCATATGAAAATAGAAAAAATTAATTTAGTTTATTGTGAATGTGTTTCATAAAGTTTCTTATAATGAAATAATAAAATAATTTTAATAAAGAAACCAAAAATATAAACATTTTCAATTTTAAAATAATTATCATTACTTTAACTGTAAATTTGAAATGAGCAAGCAAAGTATATTTAGCGTAGATAAAAGAAAAAATAAAAATATTAAAAATAGTCATAAAAATTGTTGAATTTTTTTTATTGACTTCATTTATAACTCACGAAAAAATAATTGAAACACAAGAATATTTTTTTCCTTCAACTTGTACTTAACAATAACTATGCGCATACATACAACTGCAATACTGTAATTGAAAATGTCTGAAGTACTTTGTTAATATACACTTTTATACTTAAAAATTTTTTTTTTACTTGAAACGAACGTTTGAAAGACCTCAGTCTTTTGAAAGAGAAATGCATAATACTCGTTTTTTAGACTAGGCGTGTAAATAAACTAACCACCTGCGCTTTAACAGTTATATATCTTATGTCCTGGGTTACTACACTTGACCTTTGGATTTTTCATTTTAAAATTATTTACTTATTACACTTTATGCAGAAATATGTCAAATCATGTAATGAAAATTTTTTCGAACGAATTTTCTCATTTTTCTGTCCTCATTAATAACACATTATATGTAATATGACAAAAAATATATTATAAATATTTTCAAAGCTTATTCTTGACATAATTGCATAACAATTTTAATGAAACTCATAAAACTTTTGGTATTTAATATATATTATTATTTATTGAAATTGAAATTTTAAACATTTTGCAAATTACTAAAAATATTAAAATTATTTCAAAAGAAATTTTTTTTTGTATATCTTAAATTAAAATGTTATAACTAAATCATAATTTTCATTTCATGTTTTTTCCATTATATAATTTTTAAATTTTTATTAAATTTCACAACTATATGTAAAGAAAATATAGTATGGACTGTGTAATGTAGTTACATTTTATGCTTCCAGCATTATTGGGAAGAATGATTTTGATAACAAATATTATATATTATATAAAAAAATGTGTACAATAAAAATAATACAATACAATAAATACAATAATGTATGTAAAATAAAAAAGTTTTAGATAAACCATACAATAATATTTTTATTAATTTTCAATATACCAACCAAAAAAATATTTGTATAAGCAATTGACTAATTATTTAAAAGCATGATATTTGAAATGGTAACTTTATGAACAGTTGTTTTATTAATAATTTATTCGATTAAACATGTCGCAGGAATTCCTATATTTAGGTCTAAATTATTATTTACACCCAACAATTTTTTTAATAAAACAGAATTACAAAATTAAGTTAAAATATATATAATTACATTTGAAATAAAATGGCTTCATCTTTTTAACATAAAATTTTATGCCACATTAGGTGTTGGTGTAAAATTTGACTTTTTATTTTAAATACAATTTTTGATATGAGTCTAAGAATATTACATTCCTATTTTTTACTAAATATTGTATATTACATTACAATTTTAAAATATTTAACTGTTAATTTGAATGCTACTCCGGAAATTAAAGTAAGTTTAACTGTTATGGTCGTCAAATAGTTTGCTGCAACATAATAAACTTACAATAATACTTTTCTAATAGTTATTGAGTAAAAAGTTTACATATAAATATATAACACTTATAATTAATGTAAACAGTGGATAAAGGTGTTAATTGACTTTATTTTAGTAATGCTACTTTTTAACTAAATATTAAAAAGCTATGGAATTTTTTTTATATTCAATATAAGAAATAACTTATAAGAAGGAAAATATCGATCAAGGGATACTCTATATACACTATATATCTATAAGCTTTCGTCAAATATCATAATTTTAATGATTGTGGGTACAGTAATAACACACTAAATACGCCATGTAAATGCATAATGTCAGCCCATCATTATTCTTTGTACAAATATAATAACTTAATTTTAAAACATATAAGCCTTATTTTAAAATGTGTTTTATTGTCATAAATTATTTTTTAATATAAAAGTTAGTTAAGCAATAACTGGTATTTTATAAGAATAATTAGAACTTTATTAAATAACTAAGGTTACATAATAGCATCATGAATCATACGCCCTGTCGCTTTCGAATACAATGTTTTCTGTGCAATCATATTCGTCACAAGTATTTCTAATATTACAAAAACAAAACGCCACGCAATTTTCTGGCAGATTAGCGATTAATAGATATTTTCATTATATTTGCATTACTAATTACTTGTAAAAATGAACCCGTCAATAATAACAATGTTTTTACAAATTCAGATAAGCTACTCCTAATGGTACTCCGCACAGTGGTCTGAAGGCGAATTTTAGGCGCTCATAAGTCCCATTTTTAAATGTACTCATAATATTAAAATAATTATGAAAACTTAGTTCTAGTATAATGCTTAGGCAAAATATAAAATTTCCAGGTCACATGTTCATTCAGTCGTTATTTATAGCCGTTTGAAATATATATAGGGTTATATAAAGGTTATTTTAACATAAAAAAGGCCTCTCGTTGTCAACTTTTTTAACAAGGTAAAATTTTTTTTTATTTTATTAAAAGTAATGGTCAAAGATGTTAAAAAAAAAAATTCGAAAAACATTTTTTTTTTACTAAGTAATGATCGTTTTAAGAAAATAGAGTATCTTTTGAGTCATTTTTGAAATTAAAAATCACAATACTAAAAATTACCCTATTTTACTCAAGTATCGATGCATAGATATTGTAGAGCAAGTATTCTAGATTTAAAAAAAATTTTTTTTTTTGGCGGACAAAAATAACTGTATAAGACTAATAAGATAATATCAAATTGTACATTGTTTATTTACAATTAGCTTTCATTTATTTCGATTTCTGACATTGAATTGTTTAAGTTATTTATTTCATCTTCGACAATCGTTTTAGAATTGACATATATAGATTTGATGTACGCATCATTTCACTTCAAATCACTATACATTTCATATAAGTGCGAAACCATTAAATTTCGGGCACCCACAGATGTCACATAGTGCATCGAACACTTTTGTCGCACGAGTTCGAACAAATCACGGTGGGTTATCCGTTTTTTAGTAATTTAATCGTCTTAAACTAAACATATTTTGTATGTTAATGAATATTTTTGGTTATTATTAAAATTAATACACACTTTATATGTTTCATATTTCTATAAATATGTTAAATTTCACAAATTAATTATAGTCGAACATCAAGAAATTATAATTCGAGTAATACATTTTTATAGAATACTCTTTAATATGAATAAAAAAATATTTATGATTTGTTAAATTTTTAGTAATCAATTTTAATTTTTAATTGCTTATTAAAATATTATAATTATGGAGCATGTCTATCGATTGTGAAAGCTCAAACTATAAAAATCATAAATGTTGTCAAACAGCTAAAAATGATTAGAACTTAAAACATAACAGGAATAGATATAAATTTAGTACAACGATTTGGAAATATACTTTTAGAAATTTTCAGTGGAAAAAAAAATTAATATAGACGCTTTTAATATTTATGTTATGGAAACAGCTAACATTTTTAAAGATTTATACCCGTGGTATTATATGCCTGCTAGTGTCCACAAAGTCTTTATTCATGGAGCTGATGTAATACGATTTACAATACTTCCAATTGGTATATATATATATATATATATATATATATTCATTACTATCCTATACATCAATTAAATGGTGTAACGATTTATTTGAATACAATTTTAGGTCAACTTTCAGAAAAAGCCCAGGAAGCTAGAAACAAAGACTATAAAAAAATAATATTTCACCACACTAAAAAAAGTTCGAAGTATAATACCAATGAAGATTTGATGCATATGCTATTAGTATCAAATGATCCATACATATCATCAATGAAATTATCTTCAAAAAATAGTGTAAATAAATTTTCTATGGATGTGCAAAATTTAATTGTCAATTCCAAAACGATTGTTGAAGATGAAATAAATAACTTAAACAATTCAATGTCAGAAATCGAAATAAATGAAAGCTAATTGTAAATAAAAAATGTACAAATTGATATAATCTTATTAGCCTTATACACAGTTATTTTTGTTCGCCAAAAAAAAAATTTTTTTTTTAATCTAGAATACTTGCTCTACAATATCTATGCATCGATACTTGAGTAAAATAGGGTAGTTTTTAATATTGTACTTTTTAATTTCAAAAACGACTCAATAAATACTCTATTTTATTAAAACGATCATTACTTAGTTAAAAAAAAATGTGTTTTCGAATTTTGTTTTTAACATCTTTGACCATTACTTTTAATAAAATAAAAAAAAAATTTAACTTATTAAAAAAGTTGACAACGAGAGACCTTTTTTATGTTAAAATAAGTCTTATATAACCATATATATACTTCAAACGGCTATAAATAACGACTGAATGATCATGTGACCTGGAAATTTTATATTTTGCCTAAGCAGTATACTAGAATTAAGTTTTCATAATTATTTTAATATTACGAGTACATTTAAAAATGGGACTTATGAGCGCCTAAAATTCGCTTTCAGACCACTGTGCGGGGTACCATTAAGAGTGCATTTTTTTGCATTTAAACTGTTTCATGCAGGACAATTTTATCAAGTTATATTGTCATAAAAATCTTCGATTTTGCAACAAATTATATAGGAGAAAATTATCTGTGATCTAGCGTTTTTATAATTTTGATAACGTAACTCTGAAGATATTTATTTATCATTTAATAAACCAAAAATAGCAATATTTATCAGTGAATACAAAATAATAGAAATGATTTTAACAAAAAATAAATACGCTAGATCACAGGTAATATTCTCCTTTATAATTTGGTAAATATTTTGCGACTTAATACAGATGAAATAAAGTTGTTCCGCACAAAACATATTTAAAACCGTTCTATTCTTTGTATGGCGTTCTCTTAAAATATTCTGTTAAATTATGTAAAAGAATATTTTTAAGTAAAGCCTAAAATATTTCGTATTGTATCAATATTGAAAATTATTTATTTAATCATTTTTACTGAATAAAATCTACTCACTAATTTATAATAATTAAAAAATTTCAGAAACCAGATTGCAATACCAAATTTTCAGATTCATATTTAAATCTATTGAACACAATAAATCTTAATTTTAAGGAATGGTTGTTTAAAAATAACGATGACATAAACGTTCCTGTAATTGATAAAAATGATATTGAATACCTAAAAATATCATGCTATAAAAATACAAACTGCATGAGTAAAAAAATAATTAGTTTAAAAAATTTAGAAAGTGCTTTAGAATCTTTGGAATGTTTTCATGGGTTTTCAAGTCTTTACATATTTCATATCATAAGAAATAATATGAAATCTATTATAACAAAATCCAATAAAAATATAAATAACAATGCTAAAAAATATAGGACAATTAAGTTTACTCAACTAAAAAAATATATGATAAATATGATATCAATATTTGTTAGTGGGCATTACATAATAAAACTTTGGCAGTTTGATTTTTCGATAAAAACTATACAATTGGAGCCACTGGAAACCAAAAATTTAATTGATACTGAAGAAGCCCATAATCTTATCGACGATGAAGCTCTATATTTATCATTGCATACATTTTGCCAAGAGTGTCAAGCGAAAAATAACTTGCCAAAATCATTGAAGTTTTCCGAGACAAATAGCAAAGAAATGAAATCTAATAAATTACATCTTCCTCATCATCCTGATATTTTAATTACACATTTCAGAATGTATAACTTTATTAGGGATAGTATAGATATATATAAACACCACTACTCTACTTCTCTACAATTAATCAACGATTACGGTAATTGAATTTTTTATTTTTGAGATTCACTAATGTGTGCACAATAACTGAATGATTTTTGTAACATTTGAAATATTTTATTTTTTGAAAAAATGTTTAGAGTATATGGGTAAGAGCCTTGACGGTGTAAAGCAGTGTTGTTATGTTTTAGACGTGTTCAAAACACCTAATATTTTCAAATTTACATTGATCTTATGGGACATTTTAAACGTTTTAAACTGTTTACTTATATTTTAAATATGTTAGTTGTTTAAATTTGTTTTTTAAGAACCCTGGGTAAGAGACCGATATTTATCTAATTATTTATATTGACAGAAAAACTCAATTTACAATTTAACAAGATCCTAGCACAGTGGGATGGCGGCACAGTGGGGTGGTGGCACAATGGGGTCGTGGCATAGTTGGGTCCAGTATGGATGATATCTGACAGTGATTAAAATCACTATCAAAAATAACGCTTCGATGCAAATCTGTAGATAGTGTTTAATTAAAAAAAAAATTTGTTAAAATAGCATATTTTTAATATGGTNTTTTTTTATTTTATTTTTAAGTTTGAGAATTAAGAATTATATGATAAATTATTATTTATTTTACAAATTAGATGGATTATTTTATTAAACACAATATTATTATTTTTTCGAACAGTACATAAATGTTCAAATAAATATAAATTAATAGTCAATTTGTATTTGTGGGGGGAGGGTTACATGTCTTTAAACATCTGTCTAGCATTCTCTGCTTGAACAATTCTTCGAGCCGTTCAAACGATTGACACACTGGTATGAATAATAGTGGTCACTTACTATTATAGTGTAATGGATTAATTGACATATAATCACAGTTAGCATATATGGTCTCGCTTTTAGTTCTGTTTACTAACGAGGACGAACAAAATAACAACGATTTTTGCATACGAATTTTCATCCCTTAATTTTAAATGGTACAATTCACATTGACTTCATTGTTGATATACACAGGACAATTTTATGAATATTTCAAAAATCAACAGTGATAATTTGATTATAAGATAGATGATAACATACATATTGTATATTCTGAGCAGCCAATTAAGTATGTGGCGCTTGCTACATAGATAATAAAAAATTTTCATGGCATGGAATTTAAAGAAAAACTTTAATTTGGGGTAAAAATTCAACGTAGCATTTAAATAATACATTTTATACTTATCTTGAAAGCATAGAGGTTTATTCGATAATTTATTAAATTTGAATCATTAATTTACAAAATTTTATTTCAATTATTTGTAATTGTGTTATTTATTAAAAAATATCATTTTTGAGAAAAAATAATTTATTCCAATATGGCTATCTCATTTTTACTCATTATAATTCAATATTATGATATTGAATAGTAAAATTGTTAAATAAAAAAAACTAATATTATTTCGTTATCTCAAATAAAGAAACTTGTTTAAACAGTTATTTATTTATTAATTTACTCGTTCAAATTTAATGCTAACTGAACCTTTACCTCATTAATTGGATATGAGTGTATTATGCGGAATTTAAGCTCAGGTTACTCTAAATGATTTGTGGAGAAATATTACAAAAAAAAAATAAAAGTTAATTTTGTATTATATTAGTATCGTGATTTTTAATTTATAAAATAGTTTGATGAATATTTTATATATCAGAGTTAACAAATATCTTGAAAATTAATTTGGAGTAGACAAAACTAATTTTATAGGATAGATTTGATTTTTGTTTTATTGAACATACAAATATTAAACTTTGAAATAAAAAATACATATTTTATGTTCAAACGATATAATCTTTTTTTTACGCATCATACTATTATAGATTCTAATATTACTGATATATGAAGTTAATTACACTTTTCTTCTTTTATATGAATTTATAGTAACAAAGTATACACGAGTATCAAACAATATAGATATACCACATACAGAGTTCCAGAGAAGAAAAGAAAATTTATTTAATAGATTAAAATTAAGTGAATCGGAAATTAAATCCTTTGAAAGAAGTACAGTTGGCAATGTAAATAGTAAAGAATGGCATAATAACAAAGGTTTAAGGTTGTCATCAACATATTTCGGTCGTATTTGTTCATTACAGCCGACCACTTCTAGAGATAACATTCTAAATATAATAATAAGTACATTATTAAATACGAAAAATGATAATTATACAAACGAGTAAGTAAAAAATAATTAAACTGTAACATTTTTCACAAGTAAACTATAATTGTTACCTAACATTAAAATATTTTTACCTGTTTCAGTTATCAAAATAATAAAAAATATAACGAACATTTAGAAAAATTAGCTGTAAAAGAATTTGAAAAAACAACAGAAAAAAAGGTTTTGCCTTGTGGAGTATTTGTTGACGAAGAAATTAACTATTTAACAGCGAGTCCAGATGGGATGGTTGGAGAAAATGAAATTATTGAAATTAAATGTCCTTATAATATTAAAAATATGACAATTCGAGAAGGTATTCAAAAAATAACTTATTTGATGTTGGATAAAAATACTGATAAAATATTATTAAAACACAATTCCTACGTTTATTATCAAATACAAGGACAACTGCATATTGCAAAAAAGACGAATTGCTATCTTGTTGTTTGGACAAATTATGGTAAAATTGTTTCCGTTTTTTTTTGTGATTTATCATAAATAGTTTATCATTACTATCTAACTATGAAAAATGAATCTTTTCTTTTTCTAATGATATTATTTGTACTAATTACGTTATAACACGTCATTAAAATGTAAAAATTCAAACAAAGTTTATCTAAACTGATCTAAAGACGCTTTGGATGATTTTTTTCAAAAAAATATTAAAAATAATAAAAAATATATTTAAAAAAATATGTTTAATTTTAAATATTGTTTTAGATATATACATAGAAAGAATTCCTAAGAATGATGATTTCTGGAATAAAAAAATTGTTAAAAAACTGACTAATTTCTACATGGATTTTATGGTTCCAAAAATAATTGAAATTGAAAATGATTATGAATGCTCCAATTAACTTATTTCACAGTGTTTTTAAAATTAAGGGATTATTCCTCATATAAAATTTAAAATATATCTACGCAACTATATAATCTTAATCCAAAGTCGCATATACTTGAGACCCTTCAAGGTGGCACAAACAAACTTTGTGATTATTTTGCTATAATTTGATATTATTAAATGTATAAATTCCTAGCTTTAGTAGTAAATAATATAAGAATTTTGTAAAGCATTTTATTGAGAATAAAAAATATGTCTACATTTTCAACAATAAATTAGAAACTCATTAGATATGAAGGGGTGGAAAGAAAAATTTTAAGTAAGAAAAGTATTAATAAATGAAAAATTTCATCTGCATTTTATCTAAAAGATAAATTATTTCATCTTTCATCTACATAATATTTTCGCCAAATACTTCTATCTCATATAGAAGATTTTTAACTTGAATATCTATATCTAATCTGAATAATTTTCAGTTATTTATTCTCAACAATGTTCACAAATAATTCTTTAAAATAATTTTTTTGCAGATTTTGAAAGTAATAGGCGTTCTTTAATAAATCAATATTTTAAAAGATTAGTACTTTTATATTTAATATCTAATGATTAAATACAAAAAATAATTAAATTGTTATTTTTTTTATGTATCCTATTCTCTATTATTTATCAGATTTCTTACATTCTAAGTACTTTTTTTTTGCATTTTTACTCTAAAATACAAAATATTTTCCATAAAAAGTTCACTATTTATATTGATCACATTTTTTCCTGACTATAGTAAAAGTTAATAAATGATTAATTTTGTTATAAATTTATTTTACATATAATCATCGTAAAGATTGTATTTATTTTCTATAACAGTAATTTATAGTCAAACATTTTTTAATTATATAAAGAATTTTAATTTATGAGGGGTAGCAAAATACCTTGAGCCCCTGCTACTTAACAACTTATACTTCAGTAGTTTATTTATGGGGTCAGTCCAAAATGTCTAGACAATATCATTGACTTAAAATCCTTATAGTGGGGCTTGTGGGGGATAAAGCTACCAACCACTGCATTTTGTATACTATATGGATCCTAATTAATTTGATATTGGGATCCATACGTGTGTTTTTTATACGCAACTGTTCAGTAAGAAACAGCTTAAATTATAATTTGTACCTATTTAAATCAACAAGACAAAATTTCTAAACCGTATGCAAAATGTAGTAAAATTTATAGTAATAATTATGAAACGTTTACTAACAATAACTTATGTTTAATACATTACTATTTAAAAACATATTAATTTGTACATTTTTGTCGATGAATTTATTAATTTACTATAGAAAGGATAACTAAGTCTAGCCAAAAAAAAATATCATGATATATTAATTTCCTTGACTTAAAATACTCAAAATTATTGGTATTTGTATTTTAAATACATACACATTGAGTATTATTATCATATGTATGTCAAATTTAAAATTTAAATTATTTAATATGGTACACAAACAAATAACGATACAAGGTATGACTAGACAATTAAGTTTCAATGCTTCAGAAGGCAATTTAATAGTGTACAGAATGGAAAAGATCTAAAAGACATCTTATATAACTTATGATCTACATAAAATTTTTAACTTTTTTTTTATCAATTTTTACAATATAGGTCTACATTTAAAATATGTTTTAAGTTGTATATCGCAATTACAAAAATTAATTTTTTATTAAAATTTTTTATTAATTTATGAATAAGTTTTGAAGTAAAATTTTACTTATAAATAATATTATTTTTATTCAGTGGTTATGTTTATACAGCATTTTGAAGATTATTAAATTTTGAATTGTTTTACGACTTTTCTATGGTATCAAACGTTTTTACCTAAATAAGTTTAGTTTAAAACATTTAGTGTAATATAAATTTTATAATTATCATTTACTCGTCTAAATAAATTTAAATCTAGATAAATTTATAGTTTATGACATGAATAATTATGTTTATGATTGTGTAAAAAATATATGGGCTTTTAATAAATTTTTGGTATGAGTTCTGCAATATTAAATTTTGATTTAATTAAAAATTTTATATTTCATTATTATTTTTTAACGTATTCTTACTCATTTGTATGCTTTCCTAAAAAGTATAAATTATATAAAATATATATAGTGTAAATGAGAATTTCTTTTTAAAAAAAATAAGTATTTCTAAATACTTTATATTATAAATATATTTTGTCTGAAAATACATATATATATATATATAAAGAAATAATCATTTGTGGCTAATATTACTTCAGATTAAAAATATGTTTAAAATATAAAAAATCACAAAAATTAACAGAAAACCGTAAATACTTCTATACTCGTTGTTTTTTAATAAATTTTAATTTATTTTTAAAAAAGCTTCAATATATAGGATTATTACAAATTGAAAATTATCTTTTATTACTGTAACTATTTTTAAAAAGCAGTTTGTAGAAATTATGCAATAATTTTTAAGGGTCTATGATAATCGAATACGTTACGGTTGTATACAAGAAATGCGCCATCACAATGATTAACTGTAATTTCCGAAAATAAAATTAGCTCTTGTATTTAAATACAAATAACTACAGTTGTAGTATTAAAAAAACCTGCACATTGGGGTCGTATCACATTCAGAACAATTATTTGTTAAATATTTATCAAAGATTAAAATCACTGTAGTAAAAAACGTTTCAATGAAAATCTGTAGATAGTTTTTAAATTTTAGAATAAATTATTGAATTATTCCAAAAACAACATTTATTCCTATTTTCTAAATTATTTTATGATTACAAGTACTATGATTTATATGTCTTTCTTCTTTTTCCTCTCCTTAATCCTAACTACTTTTTTACTAATTACTAAGTTTTTTCAAATTCATTCAGTATACCTTAAAGGGTGTCAACTTAATTTTTTAAATAGCAACATACATACTTAACTAGCTAATAAAATAAAAATTTATATAATTAAGAAAATGATAAGTCGGAAACAATTTTTGAAATAGTACTTAGGAGTTATTAACATTTTTTAATGTAGAGTGGAGAAAAAGTGCGACATATTAATACGTAATTATAAAAATAACATAACCTACACTTCACTTCTATATTTTAAAGTAGTTATAAATTTCGATAAAATAAGTCAACATTTGTTATCAACCATTTTCAATAATTTTCTTAATAAGATCATATTTTATTTGATAATCTTGTTAAATATGTATGTAGACAATAAAAATAAAAATGTTGTCTCCCTTATAACTATAAACTATAAAAGTAATTAATGACTGATAAATCAAGAAATAGATGATCTTGAAAAATATCAAAAGTAATTTTCTTGACATAATTATTGTTTTAAGAGACATATATAAAATAAGAATGGACAATTAAAGAAACACTCAGTACCTCAATTTATCATAACCCCATTCTTTTAATATACATATTGAAATTTTCAAAAATTCTCCCTAAATGAGTTTATAACTAAATATTTCGCGAAGCATCTTAAAAAGATAACTTTTCGTACAAAAATTGCTATTTTTAATACCCTCGCTGTGGGTAGGTAAAGCGTCAAATGTTCAAAAAATTTATATCAAGTGAAAAGGAAATATCTAAGGGATTTATATACAAACAAATTATTTTGATTCGTTAATTTTTCAAAAAATTAAAAAATTTCGAAATTTATCAATTATAAAAATCGTAATTTATGGGGTATTTACCAGTTTACAAGAAAACAAGAGAAATTTATATTTTTTAGAGCAATGTATTCAACTAGATACGATTTGTGATCTTTTGACGAATTGTCAAAAGAATAGTAAGAGGTGAAAAAAATGGTGACAGTCATAAAAAAAACACATCATAATAAAATTAATATCTTTTCAGCTGCAAATATAGATGGACATATGGTTATCATTATTTGAATTTTGTTCAAATCTACTTGCTCATTCCAGATCATCTAAAATCAATACTATAAAAAAAGTACTATAACGTAATACTATATTTTGTTTTAAGAAAAACATATTATATTTTTATCAAATATTTTGAATCAAAAATATTATTGATGAAGAATAGTATGCATTTGAAAAAATAAACATACATATATGATTTACATTTTTGTTAGTTCTTCCATTGATGAATCATTGATGAATTTGATAATCCATTACAAAATGTTCAAAATTATGTAGAAAAACACACGAGTCAAGCATGTACTTCTGACATTTATTTTTACAATTTTTTCAAATAATATATTGTGAATGTTTTAAAAACAATTCACAGCACTGCTCTATATATAGAGTAATAATGTGTATTGATTTTTATATATCGAGTATTTATTTGTGGTTTTAAATTATTTGTTTTAGAGCTTTGGATGTAGATAGAAAGGTACTTTTATACATATATTTATATATATTTGATTGATTGATTGATTAAATATAACGTTAATATAAAAAACTTCTATAATCAGTCTATTTTAGCCCAAGTAACTTTCATCGAAGAAAACATTTTTTTTAATTAATATCATTTTCTTTTTTAGATCATTTTTTAACCAAGTAATAGTTAAGGAGTTATTTTATGGGCCAGACAACTCTTATTTATACAAATGTGACTTGATTTTGTCTGATATTGATGTTTAATGGCCGCGATATGGAGATGGTCCAATTTGGGCACTAGTCCAAATTAGGGTTGACTCTCTTTTAAATAATTCAATATAAAAAAATAAAATGTAAATTTTATATTTGTTTGATTATAGCTGTACACAGATATTGAAATTTAAATGTACATATAATCTTTATGAAAAAATAAAATTTCACCAAATGTAACGTATAAATTAAGCCTGATTGAATTTTTATTCAAAATACCATTTTAGTAATAACCAAACATATTTCCAAGATAATAAGTTAAAAACAATGTCTATTTTACGCGATTGGTCAGAATAATAATATAGTTGGATTACAAATAGCCTAATAAGTTGCGATATTAATCCCCAGGGAAAATTTTGAGCAAATGTAATGAAAGCATATAATATAGAACTCTTTATTTTTTTGTAAATGATGATCATTGGTCTGTCTTTTAAATATTTAATGAGTTAAAAAAACTGAGGGTAATTTTTTTATGGTGGATGATGAAAGTTCTTTTTATTCTCATTATGCAAAGAGCAGCCGGCCTCGATAACGGTAAATATTTGTATAAAATTAACAATGACGTCCTATAATACAATGCAAACTTTTCTTTTACAAAATAAAATAAAGAATATATATATATATATATATGTACGTGTGCAAATATAATGTTTCTTTGAACATATTCAAAAACTTTTTGAAAAAAACAAAATATTGTGCTTTTTAAATGAAGTAGATGATTAAAAACTATAGAAAACCAATCATTTAATGTATTTTGAAGTCACTTTAAATAATTTTCGTTATGTTTTTTTTATTGAAAATATATTATTAATGTCTTTAAAACAATATAATTTACTAAATGAAAATTTATCCAACAATACTTGATGTGTAAATAGTGCAGCTCAACATTTTATTATTAAATTGAAGTGACTAATATCATTAAAATGTTTATTATTACTTGTATTTTGAGTAACTTCCATGTGTATTTTTGAAAATGACAAATACTCAAATCTAAACCTGAGTAATTGTTATCAATCTAGAGTCTATTTTTTATAAAATAATTACATTTATTTAATAACAATTTAAAGCACTTTCGTGAACTAATCTCAATTTATTATAAATACGTTGCTCCACAAAATTTATTTCTATAAATATTATTATCATAGTGTAATATTTTTAATTATTAAATTATTCATAATTAGTGCTGATTTTAGTGCATAATACAGTTTTATAGGAAATTGTCGATTTGAGTAGGTCTAGTTTATCATCATGTCTGATTCAAATTGAGTAGAATAACTGATTAACTGAATAACTAATTCATAAAATATATTTAATTAACTATATTGTTTATTTTACAATATATTACATATAGCTGATTAATATAGTCATATAGTCATTAGACTAGAATTAATGGACGATACATTCAAAACAATTGATAAATTTAATGTACAAATTATGCAATAAATCCACAAAATTTGTTCTAATTTCTAAAAAATATGGTTTTCATTGCAATCTTGAAGAATTTAACTGTTTTAATCTCCATATTATTGTATTGTACACATAATACAAAAGATTGATATAACAGTTTTATGTGAAATTTATTATTCCTTTAGTTGATTGTATTAATAAATATTTTATCAAAACATAAAATAATACTTTACAAAGTAAATTGATTGCATTGAATCATTTTGAAGGGTGTGGGGTAAATGTAGGTTAAAAAAGAGTGAACGTAGACAGATGTCCTAAGCATCAAAGAGATTATAAGATAACTTCGATATAACAACCGACATCCGGCCAGATATTGCGTTAGTCTACTTAAAATAACGATATATTAAAAAAAAACTTAAATAATATTTTTAAATATTTTACTTTGATGGATATTTGTAGAACAAATAATACATTTTTTTTTTATTGACATATTTATTTGGGTTATAAATAATAAGTTTTAACAAATATTTGCAAAGAAATGTTTTATGTTTGGTATGCATAGGAAAAAATACATAATATAAACAATTACTACTGTTGATGAAAAATGTTTCGTTTTATGTCATATACAAATGGATATATATAAAATAAAATTTAAAGAGTTTAACTTCAAAATAATAAAAGATCCAACTAAATATTTTTTTATAATAAGTTTGTGACTTAGTTATGATAATTTCAAAACGTAGAATGAATTCGATTTTTTTTCTTAGCTAATTTTTTTCACAACTGAAATATTTACAAAAAATGTTCTCAATGCATAGGGTAATGGATAGATAGCGGTAGGTGCCAGTTGAATATTTAAGGGAGTGCGCACAAGCCGGGTTGGCCCCCCGGCAGTGTTTTGGTTCTGTGGCCGATCACGCTGCTTTGCAGTTTACTAGTCGCAAGTCTGAACGTTTGGCGTTCGGGTTCACGCACAACTTGTGCACTTGGCATTGCAATACGTTTTAACGGCCATCGTCGGGAGTATTATCGTTGATCTTATTATTTTCCTCCTAAATAAAATACACGAAACAAATACATTGTCGTACATCGAGTTTGCCTCGCATATCCAGTTTTGAAGGTAGAATTAAACATTTTTGTCGAATGACGGTTTCGCAGGTGTCCCGAGACCCAAAACTAAATTAATCTTCAAATCGTTAGATATAGCTGAAGAAAGATAATATAGTTTTCATCGTAGACAAGACACGACATCAGTCTCCACAGTGGCCGGTGAGTGAGCACGTAGAAAATATATATTCCAACTTTACCCCCACCTGAAACATCATCACATCATTCACACTTCTTATCATTAAGATAAGACATTATGTTTAAATGTATACGAGTATTACTAAATTTCAAGTAAAGTTTAACTAATAGAGTTTAGATTAATTGTATTCAATAAAATTACAATTTCAACCATGCGCACAGTTGATAAATGTTATCAGTTATACGAAAGTAATTTTGTCATAATGTATTACAGTTAATCAAAAATAATCTTAACTGCAAATAGGACATGAACGTCATCCAGCAGATGTTTGAAATTTACCGTATACATAATTTCAAATCATTTTTCACATAGTCTGCTTCTGTTAAAAAACATAATGTTAACGATTAAGAAAAATATCTAGTCAATGAAACAATTGAGTATAATTGAAGTCAATTATAAGTAGTTAGTTTACACTGAACATGCGAAACGCTTCAGGCCATTATTAAAACCCGGCTGTTGGTCTTTTAATTTCTATTATAGTTTCACTCAAGCTCATTGTATTATTTTATCATTAATATAAATTAACCAACTCAAATCTAGTATGTTTTTCCAGTTCAGATTTGTTGATTGAGATATTTAATGTTCGCGATTGGTCTCTAAGGATTTCGAACAGCACAGCGTAGCTGTGGTAAATTATCAAACAAGAATGCAAATATCTTTAAATCAAAACCAATTCGTTATTCTAAAAACTTCGGTATGTTCCACTTGAACGACAATGAACGTTCTGTCTAGCCCTTTGAGAATAAGCTCAAATGTAATAATTCGTCTTTTACCAACTCGAAGCTCTCCTCTGGAGAGCATACAAATTACATTTCCGTTTCATTTTAATAGTGAAGTGTTTTATATTTTCAATAACTCACAGAAATCACTTTTAACTATCGTATTTCATTTTGAAATATCCATATTTTTTAATTGCCCGGTGTTAATACGTAATTACAATTATAAGTTTGCATATGTCCTATAAAAGTTTATACATTAGTTATCACAAGGTAAAACAAATCATTTATCTTACAAAAGCATCTAAAATGTCACGTTTTTTCATTACCCTCGGGGTGTTGTAGTGTTAGTACGAAAAAATAAATACAAGAGGGAGAAAAGTCAAAAGTTTGGTTGCTTAGCGAAGAGTATTGGCAAAGTTTACTTTAGGTTCAATAAAAAGAGAGACTATTTTCGATTCAAAGAAAACATCAAATAAAATATGCTCGAAGAATAATATTTTGAAATTAGTCAATGTGTGTTTATTTTCATTTTTCAAGTGCATGTTTTATTCGGTTTCAATGTTGAATGTAATCTTTGCAGAAATATGTACTTGATTCGACAGCAAATTGTCGTTTGTTTAACCAAAACCGACATATACAAACAAACGATTAAACTTTTTAAGTAATAACTGTAACTCTAAACAAACACATTCCTAAAACGTCTAGCACGAACGTGTGCGTGTGTGTGTTAATCCACGAGGGATGATAATTCTCTCCCTGAATGATTAATAGAGACTACACTCGAAATACCGTGAATCGTAAATCGGTTTTGTGGTAACTTCTCCAAGTTTGGTGGTGGCAGTGTCCTCGGGGACCCCCAACAGTTTAATTGTGTGTATCAAGAACCGGAAAACGGTAATATTTTAAGACTGAAGTGCGCCTAGATCTGACTTTTGTAGTGTACAATCACAAAGAGCTAACAATCGCACAGTATTGAACGTTTTAAGCTGCTGTTTGGACCAATTCCAAGTGATTCTCGATCGTACTTAAAATCATACAAGTTCGAAAAAATGATTCTATTTACTCCTAAAATTGATGAACTAGGCGCGTTTTTTAAGTTGTATAATACGAAAAATCTTATGTAAATAAATATCAATGAATGAAGTTTATTTTTTTTGTTTTCGTACAACTTTATTAAAAAAATTAATATCGAGGGATTATTCAATTTTATTAAATAATATAGAATTATTTACTACGATAATTCTATGTTAAATAATTTTAACATCAATCAAGAGTAACCATAAATAATATAAAAAATGAGTTATTTAAAAAATAAACATAATTAAGATTTTTCATACTCAAATACCGTTTTAAAATAAGAAAAAAATGCTTAAAGAATTATTATTAAGTAATAAATATTTTACACAAAACACGGCAAAAAATTACTTCAAGATTTTTTTCTTTAATGAAATATATTGAAAAATATATAATTTTGTAGCACATTAATCAAGACTATCATTTACATAATTTAATATATTAACTACCAGCTAGTACACCACAGTTTACTCGCTGAAGATAAAAGATTTTCAGTATTAAAAAAGTTAATTTTAATAAAAAAAAAATATTTTAGATGAATATAAAATTAAATTTTCTAAAAACATGATAGATCTTAATTTTAAACATCTGACTTGTGAATTTAGATACCGCAATTGTATTTATTTTTTTTCTAAAATTGTTAAATTTATGCCATATATTTTTAGTTTATACACATGTTAAATAATATTTTCTTCTGTTAAAAAATTGAAGTATAGTATTATGGCACACATATAGTGCGAGTTACGCATAGTGTATTTAACATAATGCGAACACTTGAAGTAAGTTTACAGTAGTTTAAATTAAATTATTATTTTACATTGTATTATCAAGAAACCCGCACAAGAGAAATGTAGCAATGATAAAAATTAAGATATCAATTCATTAAATTGTTTATAAAATCACTTTTACGTCCCTTGTAAAATTAGATGTAAATGAAAAGAATGTTTGATTCATAAGAAAATGTTTTCAAAAAAAAAAAAGTGTATTTAAATTTATATAATTATACATCAGTAATAAACAAGTAGAGATCTAAATTTTCACTTAATTTGGTATTGTCAGAATACTTTTGGAAACCACTGTTACACTGAAAAGGCAGGGTCACGATTCACCTTATTCCTGTACGTACAAGGGTCACCAATGCATTTAGGGGAAAGACGTAACATGTATAAGCCATTATTGCTAAAACTTTATTTATTTTCTTTCGTTAAGTGTTGTACAAAGACTATGAGGAAATTTTTACATCAAAAAGTCGCCATAAATACATTTTAAGGGATTACTGAAATTAAAGTAATATCGTGAAAATAACCAAGAATTTCTCTATAGACAAATTACAAACAGTCCTATGAAAAGAAAACAAGTAAGATAAAATTCAATAACTAAACCAATATGAGTTTTTTTTTTTATGGCGTTTTAATACAAAAAAAACCCAGCACAGGGGGGTCGCGGCACAGTGGTGACGTGGCATAGTTGGATCAAGTATAATGATATCTGACAGTGATTAAAATCACTATCAAAAAAAAACGCTTCGATGCAAATCTTTAGATAGTGTTTAATTTTAAAAAATTGGTGGATTATTCCAAAAGCTTCATAAACTGCTAGTTCCTTATTAATATCCTGATTTAGATAAAGTATGTTGAATGAAAAAAGGAATATTAAAAAATAGTATTTCTCATAAAAAAATTATATTGATCAATACACTTTTCAATAAGTTATAGCATTATAAAGTTAAAAATGTAAAAAATAAAATTGAGAATTTTCACACAATAATAGCATTTGGTAGCCATTTTCACCGTGAAGACAAAATAAAGTCCGAAATTTTTTTTTTACATAATAAAGTAGATTACATTAGCTTTAATTTAATATATATATAAAAGTGTCAGACTTTCCGGAACACTTTCAAAATTTAAGTTGAAAAAGTCAATTTTTTGTGAAAAAGTTGTCATTTTGAATCCCCCCCTGTAGGCAGGTAAAAAGTCAGATTTATAAAAAAAATATACCAAATGATAGGTAAAGACATCATGCATCTACAAAAAAAAGAATTATATTGATCCATACATCTTTCGAGAAGTTATAGCATTATAAAGTTAAAAATATAAAAAAGAATTTTTTTACAAAAATCGTATTTTTTTTATTAAGTTTAATGTCTGTTTTCACCATGAAGATAAAAAGTCCGAAATTTTATTTTACCATTATAAAATATATTACATTAGCTTTAATTTAAGATATATATAAAAGTGTCAGACCTTCCGGAACACTTTCAAAAGTTAAGTTGAAAAAGTTCTACTTTCTATATGCATTTTTATGTTTTGAATCCCCCCTGTATTAAGGAAAATGGTCCGATTTAAAAAAAATGTATGTCGAATGAAAGATCTATATAAATACTACTTCTCATAAAAAAATTGTAATGATCCATACACTTTTCAATATGTCATAGCATTATAAAGTTAAAAATTTAAAAAATAAAATCGAGAATTTTCACACAATAATAGCATTCGGTAGCCATTTTCATCGTGAAGATAAAATAAAGTCCGAAATTTTTTTTTTTCATAATAAAGTACATTACATTAGCTTTAATTTAAGATATATATAAAAGTGTCAGATCTTCCGGAACATTTTCAAAAATCAAGTTGAAAAAATTAATTTTTTGTAAAAAAGTTGTCATTTTAAATCATTCCCAGTGAGCAAGTAAAGAGTCACATATAAAAAAAAATATACCAAATGAAAGGTTATGATATCATAAATCTATATAAAAAAAAATCATATTAATATGTTCAATTNAAAAAAAAAAAAAAAAAAAAAAAAAACACATCTTAGTAAAACCAATACCTTCTCAGCTTCGCATCGAAGCTAAAATAACCCTAATAATGATAGGCAAATTATATTACAAGTCTTTTTTGAGCTAATACGGTTTGACTAGGCCTTGTGAATTTTCCCATACCGGATATTTAAAATTTTCATATACTTTGGGATTATAATGGATTTTTTACAAGGAAAAGAGAAATTTTGAACTCTAATTATTATACTGATTGGTAGATTAACAAACGAAGCTGCTCGTTATCGAGTGTTAAATCAGTGAAATTTCGCATCAGATACAATCACTTATTCTACTTGACTAAACTGTCCTTGTAATTTCAATAAAAAGAAATGCACTTATTTTTTGTGATATGTTT